AGTATAATTTCCAATAAAAGCAAGGCTTCCCATGGTTGTGGTGAAATCTACACATCACCACTTCTCCTTCTCTTTTTCAGCTGTATTTTTTCTTCTGTGTGTTTCCTTTGCTTATGATGGGGCTAGAGAAACATACCTGGAAGGGGTGTGTGCTTTATTACAGTACAGTATTTACTTATAAATAGTTGAATATTTTAAACCCATCAGTGCAATAGTAATAAACACACAATAGAACAATATGTGAAAAAAAAATGCAATATTTATCTTGCCCATAAAATAGGCTGAATTACATAGGGGAGGCTCACAAAGTACATTTTCAGCTGGTGTTTAAAAATAAAAAATTATTGGAGCATTTCACATATCAGACGGAGAGCATGGCATATATAGATGCAAACATGCTCTGACTACTTCAAAGCAAATCTGAGGAGTGTGTGGCACCACCAGGAGTGCCTTTCTAGATAACTTCAATGACCAAATGGATTTTTAAAGAAAGCAACAAATTCTCAGTCAGCTTCCAAGATCTTTAGAGCCTTATACAGTGGTACCTCGAATTACAAATGTCTCCACTTGCGAATGATTCGAGTTACGAACGGCTCTATTCGCAAAATGTTGCTTCGACTTGTGAATGGAGCCTCGACTTAAGAACAAAAACAAAAAACCTTTCCTGCCCTTTTTTTTGACCCAAGTTCATCTTAGGTCAAAATAAGAAAAAATAAAAAAAACATTCTCCCCCTAGTGGTAGCGTACGGATTAACCGGCTTTGCATTAGTTCCTATGGGAACTAATGCCTCTACCTACAAACAGCGCCTCAACATATGAATGAAAAACAGCCTGAATGGATTAAATGATTTTTAATGCATTCCTATGGGAAATCTTGCCTTGACTTACGAACTTTTCGACGTACGAACAACGCTCTAATATGGATTAAGTTTGTAAATTGAGGTACCACTGTATTCTAACACTGACATTTCAAACTTGTTTGAGTGATAGCAGCTAGGCAGCCAGTGCAGTTCCTTCAGCAGTGATGGTTTGTCCTGTCACTAGGTAAAGAATTAGTACTCCTGTACTGTAATATAGTAGGCCAAGGATGAAAGCCTTCTTGAGCTCTTTGGGTGAATATTAGGGGGGGAAATGAATGACATAGCTACACGCCACCTAACCAAGCAGAGGAAATAGATGAACATTTTGCAAATCCATTAGCTGAGATGTGTAGGAAACACACAACTGTAGTAATGGGGGAATTTAAGTACCTGGATATCAACTTGGAAACCAACTCTGCAGCAAGTGGGAGATCCAACAGGTTCCTGGCATGCCTGGCTGACAATATTATTACCCAAAAGGTGTGGGGGGAACTAGAGGGTCAGCCATACTGGACTTAATAATAGGGAAGAAATAGTTGAAGGAGTGGAATTTGTAGGAACTTTAGGAGAAAGCGACCATGTCATATAAGAATTCAACATCATGCAGCCAAAGGTAACTGTACCAAGTCAGACTAATGTTCTAGATTTTAAGAGAGCTGACTTTAACAAACTAAGAGATGTAATAGGAAGGATTCCATGGATGGAAATCCTAAAGGGAAAAACAGTTCAGGTTGCTTGGGAAACTCTGAAAGGTGAGATAATAAAGGCCAAAACCAAAACAATACCACAGAGAAAGAAAAACAATTGACATCTGACAAGACCGGTGTGGATGCACACAGAGCTCTCTGACAAGGTAAGGGACAAAAAGGATAAAAAACTGAAAAAGGGGCTCATAACTAGAACAGAATACCTGCAAATAGCTTGAATCTGCAAGGAGGGAGTCGAGAAGGCTAACACTGAGAAGGAGTTAAGACTTCCAAAAATGCAAAAAAAAAAAAAAAAAGTTCCTTTCAACATGTAAAGAGCAAGAGGAAAGTCAAGGAAATGTTTGGCCCACTAGTGGGAGAAGTTGACAAGAAGGTGACAGGAAACATGGAGAAAGCAGAACTTTTTAATTATTGTTTTGCATCCATATTTACGCAAAAGGAAAAATTGGTTCATCCTGTCAGAAGCAGCACTGTGGGAGACAGGAAAGTGAAGCGGGTCAAAATAGCTAAGAAAGTGGTAAAAGAACACCTAGTTGCTTTGAATGAGTTGAAGTCTCCTGGACCGGATGGTTTACATGCCACGGTACTAAAAGAACTGGCAGTTATGATCTCAGAACCACTGAATGAAATATTTGAGAGGTCCTGGAGCATGGGCAAACTGCCAGAGGACTGGAAAAAAGCTGATGTGTTTCCAGTCTTCAAAAAGGGGGAAAACATTGGATCCAGGAAACTACAGATCAATCAGATTGACATCAATACCTGGGAAAATCCTGAAAAAAATAATCAAGCAGCAGATTTGTGAGCACCTAGAAAATAACAAGGTGATTACTAAACGCCAGCATAGGTTTGTTAAGCCAAACAAATCTTCTTGCCTTCTTTGATAAAGTGACTAAATTAGTGGACCAAGGAAATGCAGTGGATATAGTATACTTAGACTTCAGTAAGGCATTTGATAAGGTAGACTACAACGTACTTCTGCGTAAGATAGAACAAAGTGGGATAGAAAGCACAACTACGATTTGCAGCTGGCTAACTGATCGCCCTTGAAGTATGGTCCTCAGTGGAACCACATCTACATGGAGGAAAGTTTGCAGTGGGATCCCTCAAGGTTCTGTCTTGGGATTAGTGCTCTTCAGCATCTTCATAAATGACCTGGATGATGGGATTGAAGGCGCACTCATCAAATTTGCTGATGACACAAAGCTGGAGGGAATTGCTAATACTTTGGAAGATAGATTTAACATTCAAGGATCTGGCCAGACTTGAACATTGGGCCCTATCCAATAAGATGCAGTCCAATGGTGAGAAAAGTAAGGCAGGAGAAACCAGATGCACAGGTACAGGATAGGTGGTATCTGGCTTGACAGTAGTACCTGTGAGAGGGATTTAGGTGTCCACTTAAGGATGAGTTAGCAGTGTGCTGCAGCTGCCAAGAAAGCCAACACAGTCCTAGGCTGCATCAACGGGAGAATAACATCAAAATCACAGGACGTGATAGTACCACTCTATACCATGCTGGTGAGGCTGCATTTGGAGTGCTGTGTCCAGTTCTGCTCACCACAATACAAAAAATACGCTGAGGGGTGCAGAAAAGAGCAACAAAGATGCTAAGGGGACTGGAGGCTAAATCCTATGAAGAAGGACTAAAAGAACTAGGAATGTTCAGCTTAACAAAGAGAAGATTGAAGGGAGACATGATATCAGTCTTCTTATATCGGAAGGGTTGCCACAGGGAAGAGGGCATCGATTTATTCTCCATTGCGCCTGAGGGTAGGACAAGAACCAATGGGTGGAAACTTGTCAGAAGAAGATCCTAAGGAGGGATTTCCTGACAGTGAGAACCATTAAGCAGTGGAACAGCTTGCCTCCTGATGTTGTGGGTGCCCCATCGCTGAAGGTTTTCAAGAAAAGATTGGACATCCATCTGTCCAGGATGGTATGAGGTCTCCTGCCTTGGGCAGGGGATTGGACTAGAAGACCTCCAAGGTCCCTTTCAAACCTATGATGATTTTATGATTCTAGCTCAGTCCATTCCTGCCAGTAGATCAGACTAGCTATAAAGCATTCCATTGTGTTATGTCCTGCTAGTAGGTTGGCTTAACTAAAGCATTTCATTCCAGCTGCAGAGTCTGCACAAAATTGAAGGGTAACCCCATGAAGTATATATTGCAATAGACCAACAATAGTCAGGCTTTAATACATTTATCATCAACAGCTCTTTCAAGGTTTTAAAAACTGTTTTGCAGAAAATATTTTTTAAATGTGAGTTGTCTTAGGCTAACTCAGAGAAATCACATGCTAATCAATACCACGTACAGTGGACCCTCGACTTACAGACGGCTCGACTTACAGACTTTTCGAGTTACAGACTTCTCTGGCTGCAAAATTTAGATTCGACTTGCAGCCAGAGAATCGACTTACAGACCAGAAAAAAACCAAAATGGAATAACAATAGAATAAAAACCACTGGTTATGGGATTAATCGGTTTTCAGTGCATTGTAGGTCAATGGGGATTCGACTTACAGAGTTTTCGACTTGCAGCCACCATTCCAATACGGATTAATTCCTTAAGTAGAGGGTCCACTGTAGTTGAAGTTCCACCCCACCCTGACTACATCTGTTCAAGGACAAAAGTCTGATGTTTTCTCAATCATATTCAATTATTCAAAAAACAAACAAACAAACCCCTCTGGTTTATGAATCTGGGATATTGTGCTTCTGCACCTACAATTCAAAAAGCCAGGAAATGGCCCAGTAGTCCTGCACAATACCATGTGTGCATTGTCGGCAGGAAAAAGAATGCCAGGCTTTACATAACAAAGGGCAGCTTGAATATTGACAACACCAACAGCCCCAGTCAAGATGGTCTAGCAGGCTTGTCCAACCTTGGCCCTCCAGATGTTCTTAGACTACAGCTCCCAGAAGCCTTCACCACCACCTCTGCTGGCCAGGATTTCTGGGAGTTGAAGTCTAAGAACATCAGGAGGGTCAAGGATGGTCACCACTGGACTACAGGATACCCTCTTCTGCTCACTACCATTCACAAAGTGACACTACCCACGCAAAGGAAAATCTCAGAAGCTCTCCTTTTTTCATCAGTTAATCATTTCTCACCCAAACACAAAGCAATTGTCAGGGCTGTTTTTCAACAAGTGTGAATGTCAACATGAACCCATGCCTGTTTTTTTTTCCATGTTTGTTAAGACACAGGGTTTTTTTAGCATAAGATACTGTTCCTGACCGCAGATCAGAAATGCGACACCTTATTTTACTTGATAACATTTCCTTGATAACTTTCTCCAAAACTACTTCACCTTGTAATTAAAATCTAGAATTTATTCTGCTCAGTAGCACTGTCTAAATCACATACTGACCCTATAACCGATTGCTATTTATTAGATATCAGTTTGCAATTCATGATGGTATTCTTACCTGGCCCATTGAGAAAGTCTTTAATCTGAAACGTGATAAGAGGAGGTGGGATGCCACTTTTGGTATCTATTTCTCCTGAGGCCGTCTGTAACCATGACTTGCAGTAGTCAAGAGTTTCTGGGAGAGTTTTTCCAGGATCTACCAGGGATATGTTATGACATACTATTAAAACAATGGCTAAAGGTGCATTTTAGTAGTGAAATAAGGATTTGCACATCAATGTATTAAACACATAGGGCTGACATTGATATACTGTATATATTGTGTAAGTACACATGTGATCCATGTATACCTTAAATACATCCCAACATTTTTTTTACAATAATTACACATATTTCATAATATGGGGAAGTTGTTAGAAATTGGGTATATTGAAAAATCTTTGCTCCTACCTTTCATTCTCCAAAATATGAGCAGAATAAGTCTGTCTAAGTAAATGCAGTGGAGATAATATCCTGTTTCCCTGAAAATAAGACCTAACCTGAAAATAAGCCCTAGTATGATTTTTCAGGATGCTTGTAATATAAGCCCTACCCCCAAAATAAGACCCAGTTAAGTGAAACCCCACCCTCTATCTTTGTGCAGAAACCAGAAGATGATATGACTGTATTTGAATAAATGTAGATTGTTGTACATGAAAAAAAATCCACTGATAGTAAGCCCTAATGCATTTTTGGAGCAAAAATAAATATAACAGCCTGTCTTATTTTCTGGAAAACATGGTAGCTGTGGAATGGCTAGAATCATATTTCTAACTGATGCTTCTGTAACGAAAATCATATAAATCTTGGTGGTGAAATGCTGCTCATTAATAATGAGACGGCCAAGTTCCTGGATGTGTGCCGAATCACATGATCATGCATGCTTTTAGGACACAGTCAGCAACTCATTAATGGGTGGCAACTGGTTCCCAAGACAAATGAGATTTCCCTTATGGGAGCATATATTTGACAACAGAGTTGCTGCCAATATCATGATCATACATAATGAAAATATATTATTGCTTGAAGTTTGGAGAATGAACAACAACAGCAGCAACAACAACAAAATAGCAAAAAAAACAGACAGACGTTTCAATATATCCTTATATTATCACCTCCTTAAGCTTAAGATATTTAGTGTGTGCAGTCTAAAACAGTTTATATTCTAGATTTTACTCCTAATATTCATGCATTAAAATTATCTTTGGCCATTATTTAATTTTATTTCCACAAAAATAAAAGCAGCTAACAAGAGAAGAAATAAACTATACACAGGCCTTATAGATCAGAAAAACACATGCTTGGAGATGCAATAGAATGGTTCTACTTATAGGTTATTTGATACAGTTTGCAGTTTCACTGGCATTGCAATCCCTTTTAACTGCTAGGCTTTTGAAGTTAACTTCAGTAGCTTTTCCTCTTGGCCTCTTTAATAGGACTCCTTTACTCCATTCTTAATATTCACAATTGTGACTCAAAGTTCATGTCTGATTCTGTACATTACTTTATGTCCTAGATAATGTACATGATAAATCATCACTGTGTAAAACTTCTAAAATCTTTGGCAGCCCAGTCTTTGTTATAATGATTCCGTGAGTTTTTTAAAAAAGAAGTATTAAGTGCTTAATCAAGAAAAAAATATAGAAGAATTTCAGCTACAAGATTGTTTTCTTTTGGTTTGATAAGCACATGCTGTGTTACCATCATAACTCTTAATTCTATTGATATTTTATGATACTTACTGAAAATGCCACTGAATGATGTTCAGATAATTTCAGTACATTCAGTATACAGTACTGTACTACCTTACTCACTTTCACATATAGTCTGAATATGGCCATATCATGTGAATTAGGCTATTAAAGTCTGTTTTGCAATGTATTGCTTAACTTGATCACATGATTCATATAAAGTTTTGCATATGAGAGTCCTTTTGCAATTTCAAAAAGCATACTGAAACACACGGGCTTTAGTTTGATGTGGAACAAGATTAAAACATTCCTTTTAGGACATTTGTCACATTATCAAATTTTCAAAAATGATATTACAGTAATGTGGGTACTGTACATTGCATACGTTAAAAAGACACACACACCCCAAAATGGCCTAAATATTTACTTTTTCACTAAATTACTTTTTAAAGACTATAGTTCCCAGAATCCCTAGCCACTGACCATGTTGGCTGGGAGATTCTGGGTGCTAAGGTTCAGAGTTATATATTTTCCACAACTCTGCACCAGATAAGAAATGGGTTTTCTTCCCCAAGAATATGCATGTAGGCATTGCATATATTAGCTTCCCTCTGAGATGCTTCCTTACTGGCTTTATTCCCTGTCAGCATTACAGAGTGAATTTGCTATTACCTTCCCCTGCCTTTTTAAAGAAAATACAACTATACCCCATAAATTATTAAGAGATGACCCATCAGGATGAATTGTAGAAACCAACTTGAATATTGATGATGCTAACTGAATCAAATGGTTTAAATTAAGGTGTGCTGGGTTTCTAATTCCGTATTTGTTGGGAGTAAATATGTGCTAATATCCTTGAAATGTGTGTGGTGAAATCTAAAACTAAAACTAAAATAAAATTACCAAACTTGACGCTGACAGAGAAATGACCATACGGTATTACTCATGAATGATGGAATTATGGGTTTGACCACATTCTCTTGAAAGCATGAGGCAATTAAAATGTTACGAAGCCACATCATGGTTTATTTTGTTAATGACACATACCTATTTATTTTCTAAATAATTATTGCAAGGTTAGGTCAGGATTGGTCGTTGTGCTGTCCTCTGAAGATGCCTGCCACAGAGACTGGCAAAACGTTAGGAAGAACAACCTTCATAACACGGCCAAAGAGCCCGAAAAACCCACAACAACCATCAGATCCCAGCCGTGAAAGCCTTCACAAATATATTGTTAGGTCAGGACTTAGAAAGTCTTTTAGGGGACGGGGTGGTGGTGAAAACTGTCAAAATTGCACAGTGGGTATGTTGGCTGGGGAATCTGGAAGTTGTAATGTAAAACATAATTTTTCCTTCAGACATGCTAAAAAGAAATTAGCGAAAGGGCGCAGCTCATTGTGGGCTTCTCACAATAGGCCCCTGTGTGAACACAGTGTTGAACTAGACAGACCTTTGGTTTGATCCAGCAAGGGTTTTCTTATGTTATTATAAACTAGTACTACCTAAGCAAACATGATGTTACAGATAGAGCGTTGGACTAGAGCTCAGGAGACTAAGAGTCACATCCCTGCTCAGCCATGGAAACTCATTTGGTGCTCCCGATAGGAAATTACCCCTTGAGCATTTCACACACCTTGAAAATTTTGTTAGAAGCAATTTGGCAGCAATAATATATATACGTTCCAATAGCTTTTTTAGTTATTTGATAAATTACCACCACTTACTTGAAGTTGTGAATATTTTAAAACTTAGAACACATAAATAACTGATTGACAAATATAAAGGTGTTTCAAACTTTAAGGACTAAGTCTCACTTTCAGTCCCAACCAGACTTGATGTACTGAGTCAACTGGACCTGCATTCCCATTCATGCACTGTGTCTGTTCTAATCAGAACTAATGATTGGCTTTTCCTCTAAAACGTTAGGTGGAAACTACAACATATGGAAATTGAGAATAAAAGACTGGTCTATTGATATGCCTGCTGCATTCCTTGTAATAGTGCAAAGAAGGATATAGACAAGAGCACACAGAAGAGAGAGAATGCTGGGGCTGCTGGTCTATACAAGATGGATAAGACACAAGACAGACAAGTACATACCCGTAAATCTCTTAAGTGATTTGCAATAGAGTTGTCCAGAATTTGGACTCTCAATTGTTCAGAATAGTAACAAGAAAAACAACACCTTTAGTTAAGTTACTGAAATAAAGACATACTCAGGTGACCAGGGGTCTATTACTATATAGAAGGGCAGTCAGCTCCATTATGTTTTGGTCAACACAGATTCCTGGTCTCAAAACTATTTGAATATGTGGCCATCATCCCATCAGTTATGCCTTCAAGTGTAACACAACTGGCACAACTTTTGGAAGTGAATTGCCTCAAGTTAGGAAGTCAGCATAGGCATCTGGTTGGTAGAGATAATGTTTACAATGACTTCTTAACTTGAGGCAATTCCTTTTAAAAAGTTATACCCTTGGCATTGAGCTGGCATAAAATCACAGGAGGCTTTCAGCACTGTGTCTTTTTGCAACAGGTTGATAGATCTCAGGATTCTAGTAAACAAAAAACCTCACTAAGTTTGAGATCTGCCCTCCTATGATATAGAATAGAGGAAGGCAACATGTAAGCTCATGTGCAGCCTCTTAGGAGCATTCTGCACTCCCCAGGACATCTGGGCTGCCATTCCTTCCACATACCCCAAAGAGGCTTTGCAGTTTTTTTAAAAAAAGGTTTTGCTCAGAAAGTCCACTTATATCCTATATAAGGCATGGAAGGCAATTTTGCCATGTTTTCATGAGCCCCTTGCCCCAGGATTAGTTAGCAAAAACCCATCCTGGCAAATTTTACAAAAACAATTTAAAATAATTTTTAAAATTAAATATGCACATTAGTTTCTTTGGTTATCTCTTTCCCTCCTTAGGTCTGCCATGTTCTGAATGTGGCCCTTGGGGTTTCAGCAAATCAAAAAAGTAGCCCCCAGCCCTGCTGAAATTGTCCACTCTTGGTTTAAGAGCAAACCAGACATTATCCAGGTAAGCATTCAAGCCAATAAACAGGCAGGTAAGCTGGAAAGTAAATAGACAGTCAAACTAAGAATCAAGTAAGAAGTCTGTAAACAGCTTCTTCTTCCAATATTAGTTGCTTAGGCTGAGAACAAATAATATTACCATTTTTCTTTTTCTTTGTGTATGAAAAAAGGAGAATTGGGTAGTGGGCACACTATAAAAGATCTTACCTGTACACTTGTAGTCTGAAGCTACACCCTTGAGCACTGCATCGAACACAGATATTTCCATTCTTTGTTTTCTGTGATGACAGCTTAAGATCAGAGAAGGCTGGGATATGACAAGGTGCAAAAATGGCTCTAACTGCAAGTTGCCAGTTCCTCTGCGCCCAGGTTGTCGAACAACTGTTATACCCAAAGCTTGCCTAGCAGATGATCTTGTGGAAGCATGTAGACTTTCCAAGGATAAAAGACCTGTCTTTTTACCAGAAGGTGAAGTACTGTTGCCATTCAGGAGATCCTCTGCAGTTACTGATGAAATGCCTGCTGTGACAGTTCTCTTGGAATCATGATCAACCCTTTCTGGAAAATTTAATGTACTTTTGCTAGTTTTCTCGCCATCTCTCTCATTTTCCACTGATTTTGACTTAGGTAAACTGCTGGATGAATATGTCATAAAGGAGATTTGGCTTGCTGTAATAAAAATGTCAAATGGAATAAAATTCAGATTCTTCACAATAGAAGACTGTCGGGAGGGACGGGCAATGCGATGGTGACTGGTGCCACTGTGTTGTTCTATTTGGACTATCCTGATTTTAACACTGTCACTTCCAATGCCACTATCTTGGGCTCCACTGTAACGTGAAGATGTTTCAACGGTACCTCCATCAGATGTGTCCATTTTTTTCTGCTCCTGTTTGGAAACCTAGGAAGGAAAATATTACATTAACTTAAAACAGCCACATCCTAAATATTTCCATTTCAGCTACAAACAATTGCCCTATAAACATAAGGTCAAGAGTAAGAGATAATTCTGTGAAGAAAACCTGCCAAATTAAACTTTAAAAATGGGAGTCGCTCATGAAAACTCAGGAAGTGCTTCTCTGTTGCAGGGAAAAGATTATTCATATATAATTACATGCTGGAAAAAATGTTGCAGGGGGAAAACATGTCTTACAGAGTCAATGTTACTTTAATCAGTGCTATAGTTCACATGCTGTAGTCCATTCAGAGAATGTTAATAATAAACCTTTTTAAAGATGAATAAAGGAATTTTAAATGATTAATGATCTGCCTTTTCAGGAATGATTGGCCAAAACAGAATTGGAGAAAAACCATGCATATAAGGCAACAGCACAACAGTTGTACCTCTGATTGGCTCCTTTTCATATGGTTGGTTATGCAATGGGTTGTGTGCCTGTTTTGCAGCTTTTACAAGATCAAGTGCATGAAGGTGAACATGCTGCAGATAAGGAAATTCATATCTGATCATCTTTCCACAAGTATGTAAACAAAGAGGATTCTGGCCAATGAGATTTAAGTAGAAATTCATTTTACCAAAGCTTCAATATGGCACCATTTTGGAACACTTGAGGAAAGTGTAAAAGTAGCTTGCACTGTAAAAATCATAATTAACTGTCAGAAGTAAGGGTGGCTTCTTGATCAGGACAGGAGGGGTGCTTCATGCCAAAATTTCAGGAAAGTTCACCTGGTTCATCAGGCCGTGCCTTAGTAATACATGTTCTAGTTACATCTAGCTCCAGCTATTCCAAGGCACTGTGCCAGTTATATTGGCTGTCTATTGGTTTCTGGGCCAAGTTTAAGTGCATTAAAATATAAAAAAATTCACAGACAATGTTCTGTGGACTAAGACCAGATCTAAAGGACCATTAGCACACATAAGAGTCTGCTTGAGCTGAAGAACAGCATTTGAGGCCATTCCTTTTGGCCCATTGATAAAAGTCGCAGGCAAGCCCTATAGGGCATCTGATCTGCATCTCAAGTTGGAGGAGGGCTTAAATAGTGGGGGTTGTTTAGAGGCAAATTTGTGCAGAGGATTAGTATGAACAGGAGAGAGTTTGCTGATCTTTACGAAGCTTCTGAGACATATTAATTCTAGTTTGTATTAGATTAGTTTTAATGTATTGTACTTTTAACTACCCTTTCATGGATTGCTGCCTTGTTGTGGCAAAGGGGCTTGAGTAATTCAGAGGAGCTATGGGCTATGCCGTGCAGGGACACCCAAGACGGACAGGTCATAGTGGAGAGTACTGACTAAACACAATCCACCTGAAGCAGGAACTGGCAAGCCACTCCAGTATCTTTGCCAAGAAAAGTCCATTGACAGAAACAAAAGGCTAAAAGATATGACATTGGAAGATGAGCCCCTCAAGTTGGAAGGCGTCCAACATGCTAGTGAGGAAGAGCAGAGGACAAGTAGCTCCAGAGCTAATGAAGTGGTTGGGCCAAAGCAGAAAGGGTGCTCAGCTGCAGACGTGTGTGGAAGTGAAATGAAAGTCTGATGCTGTAAAGAAAAATACAGTGGTGCCTCGCTTAACGATGTTAATTGGTTCCAAAAAAAATATTGCTATGGAAAAACATCGCTAAGCGAAACACGTTTTCCCATAGAGATGCATTGAAAACCGGATAATCCGTTCCAATAGGAACGGATTGCCGTCCTTAAGCAAAAATCGCCATAGGAAACATCGTTAAGTGATACAATGTTTCCCCCATTGGAATGTATTGAAGCCTATTCAATGCATTTCAATGGTTTTGCGATGTCCGTTTTCGCTATTTTTAAAGTGTCTTAAAATGTTCAAAAACCGATTTAAATGCTTGGAATTGTTAGTGCACCTTGTAAAACGTGTGCAACTTAATCTGGCTTTGTTCTGAGGTCTTCGTTAATTTTTGGTGAATTTTATTCTCCCCCATTGAAAGGCTGGACTGGAGGAATCCCAAGCCGGAATTAAGATTGCTGGAAGAAATATCAACAACCTCCGATATGCAGATGATACCACTCTGATGGCAGAAAGTGAGGAGGAATTAAGGAACCTTGTAATGAGGGTGAAAGAGGAGAGTGCAAAAAACGGTCTGAAGCTCAACATCAAAAAAACTAAGATCATGGCCACTGGTCCCATCACCTCAATATTTGCCCACTTGAATCCTTCTCCTGTTTCTAAAATTACTATTTCTACTACACTGATTACTGTGACCATGCCAATCAGCAATATTTAACCATGGGACAACTTCTAGATTAGTCTGCATGAATGCTGAGTCCTAAATTTATTATGGAGACTTGGCACTGCCAGTTAATGAAAGAGAAATATTATTTTCACTCAACTGCCTGATAACACTTATTTTCTATTTCTGCATACTACATGTTCTAAAAATGTAGTACGCAACACAGAATCTCAGTTTTCTTGACTGAGATTTGAAGCCCAAATTTATCTTGAGTTTTGTACTCTATTTTTGCTTTCATATTGCCAATTTGGAGGGTCAAATCTATAAAACCAAATAATACATGAATAAAAACATAAAAAACAGTAGATAGGCAACTGAAGAGAAACCTTGACAGTGCCATCAATTCTGAGTCATCATAAGTCACCATTGCCTCCAGGAACAGCCATGTTTGAGCTCATATGGCCTTCTAAGGACAGCCAGTTCCATGGTTAGAAGCAAACCGGCCGGTATTGCCTCTTGCTGTTCCAATCTAGCCCACAAGTAATGCCTCTAGGAAAGAATTTCCAGCAGATATAGAGGACTGTGGCAAAACAGAGTCCTTGCAATCTGTTACAGATGCTCCTGGAGGATATATATCTTTACATGTCACTTAGCCAGGTACTGAGTTAGGATTTGCAGCTATTAACTTTAAAAGGCAAGCTTGGTAATAAATCTGGGCATCAGCTGAAGAGCCTTTTATACTGGTGAACAATTCCAAATGCAAGAACTCTAAAAACATTCCTTGCTTTGTTATGGAAGAAATAGGTCAATATTTTAAGGATGTCAAAACCACCAATATCAGCTTCCTGATAGCAAATGTAATGGTAACATTTATCACTGAGCTGCATTTATATCAGTTCACTTACTCTTTACATAACCCATTTAAAATGAACAATAAAAGTTTTCTTTAATTAGCTACTGGTGTGCATTAACATGATCATGATTAAACCATAAAAACCAACTGTACATTACTCAGGTCCCCTATCACATATGTTTCGAATTATTTTAGTTGAAAATGTACTTTGAGTCCCTTTTAAAAGTTCGACCTTCTGCTTTCAGAGAATTAAATGCATATTACTGCAGTGTAGAAGATAATGTTTCAGACCTCCAGGCATATATTAAACACACTGGCAGCACATTAGACAAAATGCTTTACTTATTAGATACTTCCCATTCTAAACAGTGTCATCAAAGGCTAAAAACAAAATCCATATAAAAGCTGCACAATGCTTCCACACAGAACCTGTGCCAAAATCCCTGTACTTTCCAACTAATGAGGAAAGGATGTGCACTCTTAACATATGAATGTAAGATTTTCCAAGCATTTACTTTAGGAAACAGTGGTATTGATTCCATATGGCTTATGTTAAATGAAACTGTATTGGTAAAATAACCTTTAAGATATCTGGCATGATAGCCATAATTAAACAGTATTCAAAGGAATAAAACAAAAGGGAATGTGGTTTCACAATGGCTAATTAAAATAAAATGAAAAAACACAGTATGTCATCTATCAAGATAAACTGTTATTTTTTTAAAAAAAAGATTTAAAAATACTGATAAAATATACTTTCTAGATAAAAATCTGAAAGTACTGGGAAAATATTTGTGGCTTAAAAATGGATAGTTTGGCGAAGAACTATAGTACAGTACAGGACTTGGAAGTTTTTTTTTATGCTGAAAGAATAATTTTAAATCCCTGAGCATAACCAGATGGGCCTTTAAAATCAGAGGAATTCTACACTTTCTCTGAGAAAATGAATTCCAACATGAAAAAAGTGTTCAATCGCTGAAAAATGTCAAGTTGATAGTTAACTCATTAGATTGCTTCAGTGCATTTTCCCCTTCCATTCACGTCATAGCAGCCCCCACAAAAAAAGGTGATGAAAGCTATGCTAGTAGGTAGGGAACTCGGGTAAATTCTTCCTTGTCATGTGTTGAGATAACTGACTTTACTAGCTTAACCCTTTGAATTCAAAACCATTTGGAAAAGACAGAGAGATAAGGGTAGATAAGAGTGTGCAGTAGATGTCCAGTGCACACTGTTGCTGGGTATCCTAAAACACTAAGATAAATATGTTCAAGTGGTTTTTATTATTAGGGCCAGAATGCGGCATGAATTATATTGTGAGTTTAGGCAGCTATATTATCCTAACAGCATAAAGGACTTGCATTCCAATATATACACTGGAAAACAACGATCTTATGAGAAAACATATTTTTCCAACTTCCAAGCAAAACAAGAAAATACAAGGCAAGCAAGCCAACAAATTGTTCACATGCGATCCTGGATTCATAAGCCTCTTCACAAGTAAATGCCACAATTTTCAAGACTGACAACCATGTAACATTTCAATGTAGCAGTATCAGGTTACTGTAAATTTGCAAACAAGAAATAGCCAAATGGGTAAAGGGGGAGGGTTGTGTTATGGACCTTACAGTGGAAGTAAGAGCAAAGTGACATACAATTTCCTGTTAGTTATTCAGTTATAAGAATAACTCAGAAACTGAAGCAATATGCACAAGAAATTCTGGTACAATAGTATTTGCTGATGCAGATTGAATTTCCTCTTTGTTATAGGTTTTTCCTAAGCTTGAATCAACTTAACAGAACATAATAATTAGTATAATAAATTACTCTGCTAAATACAGTATTGTTACTTAACTCATAGAAATATTCTGGGTTCAAGCAACATTTTGAGGACC